GGTTAGTGAATGACATTATTATCCATAACGAAAGCATAATTTTCGAAATGATATGCCAACAATATTTATTTTTTAATTGCAAATAAATTTAATGTATTAATAGTAATTTATGCTGAATCATTTATATATTGTAATATATTGATGATTCTTATATTAAAGAATTCGAGAATGTGAAAATAAATAAGGTAATTAAAGAATTGTGTCAATATATATTCCAAGTATGTACCTTACACAAACATGATTAATAGAACTACCTAGAAAAAGTAGTTAGAATGTTTATAGTTTTAATAGCCAGTTTACTTTAGACAATTGCATTTGTTTACTTGATAGATTAGCATAAGAGATGTTTGATTAATTTTTCAATTGAATACAATAAAATTCTATTGATATTCAAATATGTAAATATTGAAATGGCTGTCTGCTGGTATTTTGAGTTCTTATTACACCCCAGTATTTAAAAAAATCATATAATAAATGAAGATTATTTAAATAATCATCATTTATTTGATAACATATGATGGGTAAAAAAACCCATCACTGATAGTCAAAATAAATGATGAGTAAATGTTTTATGCAATATTCATTCTTTTCCTTACTAGCATCTACACTTAAAAAAAATATATTTTGAATGACGGTTATATAATCATCATTTATTGGAGGACTTTAAATGTTAGCCACATAAATGATTGTTATTAACCGTAATTTATGAGCTAAAATAACTATCATTTATTTTTTTTATAGTAGTAAAACATTTTAAACTAGAGTTGATACATACATACGTGTGTGTGTGTGTGTGTGTTTAAAGATGAAGAAAAAAAGAATTAAAATGACCTCCCAAGATCACATCTTTAGTAAAATTTAAGACTAAATGTCATCCTTCATAACATATTATTGGTAAATTATATTATTAAATGAGCTTTTTTTTTCACAAAACATAACGAGTGCATCTTGTTGATAGTGTAATGTCCGCTCTAACATTATCAAACCATATTACACATAATAAAAGTAATAGTAATTAGAAGTCCTCAACTCCTAAACTATTGCAAATCACAAATATTGAAAAAATAAAAAATAATTCTTTTAAAATGGTTGAGATTCTAAAAAAATTTGGAAAAAAGTTAAAACATTAAATCATATGTATTTATGAACAACATAAGCATTTATGAACGTATAAATATCATACGATAGGAAATAGGGGCAAAATAGTTATTTTTACTTAAAATGGATCATATGTTGTGGCATGTGGTCTAAAGAACAAAATCAAACCTCTATACCATATGCCGTGATGTGTTTACCATGCACCATGGTGCACATAACATATTGTGTTGTCATGATAATTTGTCTAACATGAAATTTTGGCACATTCTATTTTCATATATGATATTTGATTGGAGTGATTCAAATATTTATATATATTTTATTTTACAATCTAACTAATGACACCAGTTTCACCTTAATCTGATATTTGTTTTAAAATTTGAACAATCGAATGCAAAAATAATCATTTTTTGTCATTTTCTCACACCCAAGCATTCTAAATCAAATGCTAAACTTTAAAAAATGGGACATTTACCACCTAATTGAACATCTATATAAAAAACACAATTACAATTAAATTTTGGCTAATGCACTGCCCCTTTCCACTACAAAATAGGCCATTTACATAATTGCACACATATACATTTATGGGCTAAATTTCACACATCACAAAGTCATTAAATACACAATTATACACTTATACTAATATCTCAACCATCACTTCACACATTTTTCATCCTAGGGTTAAGTTGCTTATACATGCTCGAACAAGTGCAACAAAAATACATGTATGTATTCCTATAACAACTTATAAACATTTATATTTATAACTAAACAAATTCATTACGCACTCGAAAGGGTTAGGTAGCAAATCTACTACTTCTGGCCCAGGTCTTTTCCTTTGCTCTCACTAGTATAAGAACCTGTAAAATAGTAATCATAGGGTGAGATAAATTTCCTAATAACCAAAATAATCCAAAGCTATCTATTAATAAGTAAAACTATAAACAATTAAATAAAGCATAATTATTACTAAATATACACACACACACATATTCATATTTACATGCTTGATCATCTCATCTATCTGAACCTCCATATATGCCCCAATTGAATTCATAGGTTTCACTGGACTAATTCTATATAAATAGATCCAAACTCACCTTCCATGATAAAACTACCCAACCAAAAGTATTCTGTCTCACTTTCGAGCTATAGATTCCCCTTATCACACGCACAATCAGGATGTCATTACTCTAATACCACATTACATAGATGCTGAGGAGTAAAGTCTCCAACACCGCACCTATTCAAGCACTAAGAAGAGAAATTATCAAACACCATACCCCTTTCAGGCACCAAGGATCATATATCACAATGCTATATGGACACAATACTCCACCTAGAATGAACTCTCACCCTTTATCATGATTATGTCTTTTCATATAATACACAATCATATATCACCCCCCACACGCACACACACTAGTTCACATTTATCATATAAGCCTCTAGTTCACATTTATCATATTAGCTTTTAAAAACTAACTTTTTTTAGTAAATTCAATTTTATAAATCAAATCCTCTAATTCAATATCATGTAAGTTTCAAAACATGCCATTATATCAAATTATATATTATATTACAAAATTTTACTTATAAATAATTAAACTAGCTAATAGATAATATGAATTATTCAATTACTTTAATTCTTCTATTTCTAGAAAGGTTGCCCGTGGTACTTTCGCTTCCTTCTTTAACACTTGCTCAGAATAACTCATAAGGCATGTAAATCTACACAATTAAGCACTGTATGTCCATTACAAATTAACTATAAGCATTATTAACACAATTAAACTAAATTAACTTTAATTAAATACCTAATCACCTTCCATAACCCTTCCACAACATCTATTAGACTCCACACAATCCATAAATATTTTCCATACTTTTAAACTTCTTAACTTAGGTTAGATTAAGCTTATAACATTAAAACTCAACTATTAATCACCAAATTAGTCAAAAATCTTATTTTAACTTTCAAAAATCTTTTTATAACTAAAAGGTAAGAAAACAACTCTTAAAAACTTCCCAATTTAATTTCTTTATATCCTAAACTAAGAGAAATTAAGATAGAATAGGAGAGTAGGAAGGTACAAAACTTATTTAGCAAGTAACAAGCCTAAACTAGCTCTCAAGTGGTCAAAATTCTTACTGTAATAGAGCTTAATTCTTTCTCCTTCATGCTCTCTATTTTTCCTTCCATTTTCTCTAAAAATCACAAGCTAACCATATATTAAAGGTCAAAATTTTGGCTCATGCGTCAGGACTCATTATAAATATGTTGCAATACATGGCATAGTAAAAAAATTTTCACTATAGTTCACATGCTTCATTCTGAATCGCAATTCTTCCACTTAATCTTGTTCAAACAATTTCCTAACAACTCAACATGTCAATTTACCGTCTAAAACACTGTTAATTTAATTAGTTCATTAATTTACTAATCTATCATTAATTAGCTTAACATGTCAATTTACCATCTAAAACACTGTTAATTTAATTAGTTCATTAATTTACTAATCTATCATTAATTAGCTCAACATGTCAATTTACCATCTAAAACACTGTTAATTTAATTAGTTCATTAATTTACTAATCTATTATTAATTAGCAAATAGTTTTCATATTAAAAGTTTAAAATGTTAAAGCGGTCTAGGCTTCTCTTGGGTAAACATTTAAACCAAGGTTTGTTATATATATATATATATATAAGAGGTGGAATTCAATCCATAACTACTTGTCTAAATAATAAAATATTTTTTTAAGAAAACTAATTAAATAACATTGAGTTATAAAAGTGAAGACCATATATTAGTTACCGTGTTTTATTTTATTATTTAAAAAAAAAAAGCTCAGAAATGATGGTTACGCTTAGGCCAGGTAAAAGAAGGATCTTATTTCTCAATGATCTGAATATTGAGGGGGAAATATTTGTAAAGAATTGCTTCTAATTAGATTGGACAAAACTCAATATGACATAATAACATGGGATATTAAATAATTGTATCAAAAAATTAATGAAAAACGTAATAAACCACTAAGGTTGGGTTAAGTGGGCTGCTCGGTGCCTCCTAAATGAGACTATGATTTTTAATCTTGTAAATGAAGAATAAAACATATGATAAAAATTATTCCAGCTTAACAATACTCGAGCCAAATGCTGAACCTTAGAAAAGAGGCTAAAGACGCATATTAAAAAAAAAAAAAGTTAGTTTTGTGTCTGAAAATATTATGTTGTTATAATTACCCTAATAAAGCTTTCCTATCACAAGACACCTCTAATTACTTCACTGTAATTAAGAAAATGTGATTGAGTTATATTAACTATATCTAAAATTTAAATAAACTTTTGATTTTAGTCCTATTTGAATGAAAAGTTTTAAATTTATATTACATTTTTTCCCGCAATTAATGAGCTTAAATTAAAATAATATTAAAAAATATAATTAATATCACATATAATAAAAACCAATTAATATCCTAGAATGAAGGAGTATAATATAAAGGTAAAACATAGTTATTGACTCATATAATTTCATTAAATTTTATTTTAGTTTTTATAATTTTTTTAATATTTTTAAGTTTTATAATTTTAATAAAATTGGGTAATATTTTTATTTTAGATCTAACAATGTTAAATTATAAGATTAGAAAGAATAAAAATATTAAAAAAAAGTATAGAAATTAAGAACAAAATATGATAAAACTAGAAACACGAATAGATAATTTTTTTCCCTCATACAAAGAGTTGTTGGGTAATAAATTCAGTGCCACCGAAGTGAACAGGAGAGTAGTAAATAAATAGTTTTTGGCCACAAAATAAATACTAAATATTCATTAATCAGAAACTCACGAGAAAAGGAATAAAGAAGAGGAAAAAGCAAATTGGTTCGCTGAAAACAGAGACGCAAATGCACCACGGACGCATCTTTTTCCCCGCAAGGACGCGGGCCATGGCAATCTCTCTCTAAAGGACAAACCGTGGCTCTACCACAATCTCCACCATTCCCATTCTTCCTTTCTTCGCCCCTGTCTGCTCATTTTCCTCTACCCTTCCGCTCTTTCTCTCTATCTTCTCCATCTCTTCACATTCTGATTTTCTTCTCTCTTTCGTGATCTCTCCCTGCGTCAATTTCGTACCATGTAGATCTGCTTCCAACCCTCTTACTTCAAATACGCATCGAAATTTCTGAGCTTGATCTCGGCCTTACTTCCCAATTTCTCTTTTGAACAATCTATAATTTTATTCTCTGCAATGTCCTCCCTTCGTCCAGATCTAACCTGCAGAATCTACCCGGAACCCGATGTGGTCGAAATTGATCATTTCGATCGCCTCCCAGACTCTCTGCTTCTCCTGGTCTTCAACAGGATCGGCGATGTCAAGGCTCTTGGTCGGTGTTGTGCTGTTTCCCGTCGATTCCACTCTCTAGTGCCCGAGGTTGAAAACGTCGTCGTTCGTGTGGACTGTGTTATATCCGACGACGATTCTTCGTCTTCTGCGGCTTCGTCAGACAAATCTCGTGGCCCCTTCTCTAATCTGTTTCGGTTAGTGTTCGGAGGAATTGTGAAGCCCCTTCAAGCTCTGGGTCAATTGTTAGGTCCCAGAAGGGCTTCTTTGAGTACAGGTTCTTCGTCTTCGTCGTCCTCGCTTGCCGTTGGGAGTGAAGACGTGGAAGGCGAGCAAGGCGGTGTAACCCATCACTCACCTACTCAAGTTTTGAAGAACTTCAATGAGATTCGGCTTCTTCGAATCGAGCTTCCCAGTGGGGAATTAGGAATAGATGATGGGGTTTTCTTAAAATGGAGAGCTGATTTCGGGTCAACTTTGGATAATTGTGTAATCTTAGGCGCTTCTTCGGTCATTCACCCAAGAAAGTCTTTGAATTCTCAGGATGAGAATTCTGATGCCTCAGGTGGCAACTATGGTGGTGATGACAATGGAAGCATACCTGATTCGTTTTACACTAACGGGGGTCTGAAACTTAGAGTTGTTTGGACAATCAGCTCTTTGATTGCTGCTTCTGCAAGGCACTACTTGTTGCAGCCAATCATTTCAGAGCATAGAACATTAGACAATTTAGTTTTGACAGATGCTGATGGGCAGGGTGTGTTATATATGAATAGGGATCAGCTGGAGGAGCTGAGGGTGAAGCCTCTTTCAGCTTCTTCAGCATCAAAGAGGACTCTTGTGCCTGCCCTCAGCATGAGGCTTTGGTATGCACCCCACACAGAATTGCCAAATGGGGTTGTTTTGAAGGGCGCAACCCTTGTTGCAATTAGGCCAAGTGAGCAATCCGCCATGGGGAAGAAGGAAATGTCTGATTTGTCCTGGGTTTCAACGGCATTTGAAGAGCCTTATGGGACTGCCGTGAGGATGCTGGTGAAGAGGAGGACCTACTGTCTTGAGATGAACTCCTTCTAATGCGAGTAATAGGATAGAAGGTATATTTTATTCGGCACTCACTGTGCAAGTTGTGTGTTTCCAATTCAACGTTTATAATATCTAGCTAAACTGCTAAAGACATGCCGGTTCAAGAGATTTGTGAGTGTTTTTCACTTGCTATTTGACTCTGCCATAACCCCATGCTTGAAAGGCGTCTTTGTCAAAGGGTTCTGCTAGGTGTAGATATAGTTTCTTGATTCCATAATAGAGTTAATGATATTGGAGATCTCACTTTTTTATCACGTCAATTGTTTGTTAATTTCTAGAGAGTGATAGACTAGTTTAATATCTTTTTTTTTTTATTGCTTTAGAAGTGGGATAATGAAGAAACATAAACAGATTTGCCTGGGAAAATGTCATCATTTGATTCTGATAAACTCATTATCTCCTTATTTACATATTGGGATTTTTGATTTGGCATTACTCTACTTTCGTTCTTTTATTTATTATTTGTTAAAGGAAGTTTTACCACTCTTATTTACTTGTTTAGACATGGATTTTATTTTCAGTGAATGAATAGGGGAACTTGAAAGTTCATGACTGAAGGAATTAAAAGTTCAGCATCCATGGAGTGGAGTGGAGTGGAAGCAGGTCCCTTGCTTGATCAGAACTCTTTTCTACCTCTGAAAGTGCATCCTATAGTTGAATGGCTTTTAAAGGGGTTGGTGTCAGTGTCATTCGCCTATGTTTATCTGAACTGATGACTAAATGCATTTGCTGGTTGTTTTTAGAGGCAATACCTGTAAGAGTTCTGGCACACCTGCATCTAGATGATGATCTTGTGAAAGCTTTGAGCTTGTAGTCATTTACTCTTCCAGTTATCCATCTGTGAATATTCTAGGTTTTTTTGGCTTGGTATCCTTTTGTGAAATATACATCTGAAGTTAAAGGAGCAATGCAATTTTCTTTATCTGTACTGGTCAAAAGAACTTGCTCAGGTTTCGAGCATATAAATAGATGTAAAAAAGCAGATGAAGTTGTATTGAATTCCATGGTCCATTTATCTGCATTTAGATTCCCTTTTCTTTTTATGTTCAGGGATGCTCTCAGCCATGGGATGATATGAAGGGTTTGTTTCTCCCCTAATGGCTTTGTGCATATATTATTTTAATCCCTTGGTTTTACCCGAGGAGATTCAAACCCAAGTTGTCAAGCAGCTTGATTCTGCTTCAGATTGATAGCCTCCATAATCTTTAATTTTTAAACCCAATAAACAGCATTGTGATCCTGCTTTAGTTGTCAAGAGGCCGTTGGAATTGACTTATTTTATTATTTAATATAAAGCATATGAATTGTCAACTCTGATGAATCTGGTTGCTGATTACATGGGTGCAAAGTGCCAGCTTGGTAGCCTTTATTTTGGTTAGGGTGGTCCCAAGGCGTAGGTGAGGGGCTTTAAGAGAAGCTCTGCATTTGTAGTTGCCCCTAATGCCTCATATATTTATCCAAGTAATTTGTAGTGTAATGATAGAGACAGTTGCGTAGAATTCTCAGCACCTTAGTTTATTTATCTCTTTTATTTGGGGGAAAAGCGACCCATTCATGGTGGAAGGTACTCTTAAGGTACTTTGAATTTAATTATATTCTCAATAAGTTAGTTAATTGTTTTTAAAATTGCATACTCTTTTTATGTTTATTGTTATTTAATAGAGTATTTCACTCACAAAACCTTATTAATTATACCCCTTAATTAGGAATTTTTTTTTAAAAAAAATATCATCAATTGTATCTTGAAGGATCCAAAATGTCTTGTATTTTTTGACATTTTATCTCAAAAAAATGCCATATGTTTTTTAACTTTAGGAATATATGATTTGGGTAAGAAGCCAGCCATGGGCATTTAAAATGCTGAATAAATTTTTATGCCCCAGGAATTAAAATAGTGACCAATAGGTGTTGGTCTTAATAGAGTGTGAACTATAATTGTTTAAGTATAAGGTCTTATGTTTGAATTCATGTAAATGTAAAAAACACGTTTGAGAAAAATATTTTAATTGAGCTTAACAAAGCTCGGATTTGATTTGACACAATCTTATAGTCATATAAGAAAGAAAAAGCGATGTTTATAGGGAAGTTGGGAGACTTGGAGTTAGAGGTGAAGTATCGTCTCTTTCAAAATAGGATTAGGATAAAACGTGGAACAAGTATATAGTATTAGTAGGTGATTTAAGCAATTGAAAACAGAGGTTGAAATCGTTAGAAAGTTTGATGAAGTCATTTTCAACACAGACGAAATAGCTTTCCATTCTGAACAGAATCCAACAGGCTTAGCTGGATCACGTCCATGTTTGGTCAATGAACAAGGAAAAGATCTTTGAAAAAATTATATTCATATCTCACATAAAAAAAATTAATTACTACTTAATTACTACTTAAAATTTTATAATAATTAATTTCTTTATGTAAAATTTGAATATAATTTTTTCAAAATCATATTTTGCATCTCCATAGTTCAATTATCACTGAACTTTATAATAATTCATTCCCTTATGTGCTACTTGAATGTAATTTTTTCAAGATCATCTTTTGCTGTTGGAGCTATTTTTCCAACCAAATTACAAGTTTCAAAGGTTTTTTTGTTTAAAAAGGGATGACTGAAAATAAATTTAAATAGTTTAGATTTATTATAAATAATAACCGTGATGGACCCAACTTTTTGGTCAATCATATGTCTAGTATTTTTCATTCGTCCAGCCAAGCAAATTCATGAATGTGACCTTATGGTATACTGTGTCTATCTATATATGTTATGCATTTATTATGTGGCACTGGTATGCAAATGCAATGTTTCGTGCCCCTACATTTCTTAAAACAATCTTTCTTTTTATTTTTATATATCACGGAAGTTTGATTATTATGTCACTATTTCAAAAGAAATTAGTCTTTTACCATTGATAAAAGATATAAAAAAAAAATAAATCTAACAATGCGGCCCCAATTCTCACACATAAATAAAAACACGAAGTAAACTAAATTTGTGTAAACTTTACCTTTTGTACCTTGAGAAGATTAATCTTCATTGTTAATGGAGGATACTTATAGTCTTATAAAAAACACACTAAATATAGCTACATATAAAAAAAAATTTGACATACTGACATTATAATTGTTAAAAAAAACTAAAAAAAATTCCATGTTATGAATTATTCATGTTATGGCGATGATACATCCAAACCAAGAGCCAAATAGGGTCCCTTTCAAGAAAGCTTTTAGACTAATGCATCCAAGTTGCGGAATGTTACAGGATAAGTTGAGAAGGATAAACCAATAATTTACATGCCAAGACAGGTACGAATATGAGAAAGATCATAAAACTAATTTAAAATATTAGTCTTTAATTATTGTTATTATTATTTGTTCCTTTCAAACATTCCACATGCTAATTTTTTCTCTCATCTGAAATAGGGATGTTCATAGGACAGAACAAAATCAGGAGACCCCTGTCCAATATTCATATAAATCAGACAACATTGAAGAAAGATTTAGAAAATAACATTTATTAAAATTTTAAAATATATAATTTATTAAGTTTAAAATCAAAACAATACAAGTACATAAATCATTTAAAATTAATTATTGAATTACATTAATCATAACTACACATTATGATAGTAATTACAAGTGATATCTAGGTTATAAGAACAGTACCAATAGGTAAGCCAAGTGCAATATTAAATCATTGTTCTTCTATTTTAATTGAGATATGCTATACTAATTACTTTTTTAAAAATAAAGCAAGAAATATACAATAAAAGTTATTAAATAAATAGGTATAAGAATAACAATTTTACAATTAAAAATGCATTTTGTAAAGTACTTGTTCAAAACTAATAGTCAATTATGATCGAAACATGATCAAATTTCATATAAACAAAACATTTTATTGAACCAATGTACTAGTCCAATGGCTTGTTAGTTTAATTAGTTGGGCTGAGCTAATTTTCAATACTACATTATTGTAACAATTTTTGTAACATATTGACATGTCTAAAGCCCTCATTCATGATTAGAATATTCTTGATAAGGGACAAGATAATCCTACAACTTCAATTTCAGGTCTTGGCCTTATAATGGACAGGGTAGCGTTAAAATCACAGGTTTTAGCTTCTTTTAGGGACTGATTCATTATTTCATTCACATATTCTGATCTCAACCAGTGGTATGGTCGTATGGACAATTTCAAAATCATTGGAGAAAGCCAAAAATAATAACTTCAAGCTTCTTTTACATTTCTCCAGAAACAGGGATATGCAACACGCATAGATTAATTAATATAGATAATTATATATATATATATATGTATCCAAATACTGAACTTAAGTGAATGATACTTCAAATTGATCAACACATGAATACCAACACCCGGTGACAACATTGTACCATCCGATGTAGCAGCAGCAAAGACAAACCGTGGGCCATAGCTTGCATCTAGTGCTCTAGCTTTTGGTCCTATATGTCCAAAAATATCACAGAAATGTTCAATATCGACAGCCTATAACTACGTTTACTTCAACATTATATAAAGACATGAGAGTGGGGTAAACAAAAAATGGACGCACCAAGGCCTGTTCAGTACCAACATAGGGCAAACCATGACAAGGTGGGTACTACAGATAGCGTTGTAAAATCAGAATCTTATACTTCAATATGTTAGAGAAAGAGAAATTTCATCTACTATATTGCTGCAGAAATTTGGTAAAAATGTAAGTAGTTTCATGCTTTAAGATGGGAAGGAAAATAAAGTTTAGAACTAACTTCAACAGAATCTAAAAGAAGCAATCTCAATCAGCCATCAAGGGGCGGAAGAAGCCATGGATGCAGCCTAACAGCTTTCTTAAATAAAAGCACATTCAAATTCTAATAGCAACTCCTGTTCATGTAGACAAGCATCTTAGCTCACTGTACATTTGAAGACACTAGCTTAAACTTCAGATAGGGACTGAGAATGAAAAGATTTGAACAAATAGAACGCTTTAATGAAAATCATGAACTGATTTCAGATATAGTTAACCATCATATTAAGAATTTCAGGCTTCAAGAAGCTCAATTACCAGCTGAATTTGGAGCTACTTACTCGACAGCTTATGAGTGACCAAAGGAAGCTCATCAAGTGCCAATGAATACTGGTCCACACAAGCTAAGGACTGATCTCATATTCTATAAGGGCGTGGGTTCAAATCTTGCTCCTAATGAAAAAGAACGGTAATTTATGAGTATATTTAGAAGTGCTTTTTAAACCTTTAAGTCTGCCCTAATCCTTATGAATCCTAGAGTTCCAACAACTAAATTTTTGTACTAGACAATGAGTTCAAAACATTGAAAATTTTTTAGTATTTTTCATAAGCTTAAAATCTTTTTGCATCAAGGTCAGTTTCGTGACTCTTACATGACACGAATCTGTGAGATTCTAATGTAGAGTTCATAGGCCAGAGCATCTATAACCTCACCAATATTAGGAATACGCTATGGCTCTCCCAAGAACACAAGGTTTATTTATATCACTTTGTTTTGTCATTTCAATTCCAATTAGTAGTCTTTTGCTCTCTCGATTCCAATTGAGTTGAATCATCACGGCATCTGTTAAGCTGGCAATCTTTTTTTTTTTTTGAACTCTCATGACAAGATAAAAACAGCACTCCCCATCTTGATAGATTGTGTAATTTACTCTCTCAACTTTCAAAGTTGACCAGTGACCCTCTTAAAATTTCAGCCTTCTACAAAATAACCTATTCTTTAGTTTTTTGTTTTTCATCCAAATTCCAACACTACTTATCCATCTAAACCCAATATATATATATATATATATACCCTCTCCGTACCATAATATAGGATATTTTTATTGATTATTTCATTAAAAAAATGGTCTATCAGAACTTGAATTATCATTATTAAGGCATTTATATAGAGTATTTAAAGAGGTATAATTAAAAAAGTGTACAATATTTTAAAACATTAAAGTTTTAACTAACTCTTTTTAGTAGTACCATGAACTAGTTATCAATACTTTATATTGTAAACAAGAGCGAGTATGCATCTAACACGCATCTAAGACATTCACAGTCATTGAGGCCACTATCAATATGAATGTGTTCTTTCTATTTATAGTGCATTGTTGATCAATATGCTATTTGAGTTACTTGGGAATCAAACTCAATAAATTTATTGGGTCAAATCCACTCTCGAAGTAAACAAGTAAAGAACATTTATATAACATGTTCAACATGAATGCAAGTATAAGGATGTCCAAGTTAATCATCAAAAGACAAACTATATTTCCAAAGATTAACAATAACATCAATGGAAAGTTCACTTCAGTTATTTTTACAACTAACAAGAGGGAATGTTAAGTTCAAGTGCTCTTAGAGAGTGAGGGACCTTAAATGCTAACATTATTTTGTTTGTGTGTATATAATACAGGATTAAAATCATGATAACATCATTCAAGCCATCTTTTGCAAAAGAAAGGCTCAAGCCAATTTCCTCAAGCTCAATTCATGCACGGTACATTACCTAACCTAAACGTAAAGGCTAAAGCTATATGAATCATAACTGGATATCGACTTTTAACAAACAATTTTTTTTTAAAGTGAAATCATTATTTGTGTTTCAATTAAATTTACACACACACACATATTCAATAATTCAAAAATTATTAGAAAAATCAAACAAAAATGCCAAATTGAAATATTTAAATGTATTGGCGGTTGTTAAATAATGACTTTTTGGGTAATTATGTCGTTACTGCTGCATTCAATATTTATTTATAATATTTTCAACGTTTCCTTGTAGTGATAATAAAGTATATTCATTACATATCTGCTTTTTTACATTGTGAATTTTCCTTGCATGATTATCATATCATTTACAATATTTCCAGTTAACTATATCACTAATCATAAGTTTAAAAACATTAATAATAATAATAATAATAATAATAATAATAATAATACACCAGGTTCCAACAAATCACGGAAAGATTCGTTTACTCGAAAGATCATATAGTTGAGATCTTGAGTTACACAAGATAAAATGGCTTAAACCTAGGCATAGACCACAACCCATAACATTTGCAGAAGGATCAGCTGACAATAAACCAGCAAATTTTCTGCCTTGTTTATTACTAGTTGTAATTTATTTTTACTAAATTTGAAAAATGGGACATGTGTTGGGTTGGGTCAGTATTAAAGTAGTGTATATTAATCATTAGTTACGAGAAGTTGTGGTTCTTGAGAGAAGCGATGAAAAAGATAATACTGGTCCTATGTACTATATGTAATTACCAAGTGCATTACAGTTAAGCCTACACTAATTTCCTTAAAACTCGGATTTTTTTTAAATTTCCCTCCTGAGTATGACCTAACCTGGTTGAGAAGTCAGCCTACTCCTTATGAGAAAGCTCCCCTTTTTACTATAATTCTCAATTCTAAACCAATCCCAACAACTGCATTCTAATATATTCCCTCTCTCCCAAATTATAAAATACTTTTTGACAACATTTTACATATAATAAACTTAAATTAAATACATTTAAAAATTTTACTTTTTTAAAATAAAAATATAAACTTTTAAAAATATTCTTAATTTAATATATTGAAAAGAAATAGGGATGGAAGTTAAATAGAGAGAGAGACGGTAATATTAAAATAAGTCTTAATCTTTTTAAAATATCTTATATTTTAAAATGCCAAATCTCCTCTCTAAAAGTATCTTTTAACTTTATATAATACAATAATTATAATAAAATATTTGGCCAAAATATTATAATTATAATACAATAAAGTGTCCCAAGCTAAAGCGCTGACTAATCCAGATCGAGTATGCTCAAAACCCTTTCAAGTTCAAACTCAAGGCTTCCAATTAAACTGGTATAGCTAAGATATTCTTTAAGTAAAATGTGTCATGTTTACACATATTTATAACATAACATACTCTTTTCTAAGGTAACATGTTAAAAAATATAAGGTATTTTAAGAATTAATTAATATAACCTTTTTTTAAAATATCTTTAATTAGGGGTGTAATTATATTTATAAAGTTTTCTAAATGAGATAACCTATTGAATAAAGATAAATATAAAAAAATATGTAATTTTAAATGGCATTAACTAGCTAATGAGAAGTGTAAATTAACTAAAAAATCCTTATAATTCTAAGCAGACGGAGTAATTAATTTCTTTTTTTAAAATACATGAAGAGTTAAATCCTGGACCTCTTCTTACACCTTAATCTACCCCTTACCACGAGAGAATATAATGAATTTCCATTTTGAATAAAGTATATGCATTCCCTCTGGAATTTTGAGAAAATCACAATTATAATAGACATCCCATCTATTTTTATAAATTATACAGTATTCCTTAAATATATAAAAATTAAGTAAATAAAATTCCTGTAGATGTTAAAATGATCCAAACATCTTTCCTTTTTTCCTAAAATAAACACAAATTTCTTGCGGAAATAATAATAAGTATTTATATTTAAATTTTTGGGGGAAAGGCCCTGACTTTGAAAAAAAAGGTAAAAAGAAATAGCAATGAAGCAGTAAAATCTAGCACTAAAAACAAGGCCCATATGCTAGTGACTAGTGAGCATGCAGAAGCAGACAGTGCGCCGAGCAGAGTAATGTGGGAGCAGACTTGGGAGTGAGGAAAACGAATTGGGATTGCAAAACCAAAACGCTATTCCTATTTCTTCGCACTCCCCTTACTTTCCTCTCTGCGCAAACCCTGTCACCTCCAAATCCGCCATTCCTCAGACTCACATGACCTACTACGTCCTACTCTCCCCTATCCCTCGCATGAAATCAATCAATCGTCCCATGATCCACACGACAATCTCCACAGATACAACAAAACCACACCAACATTGTTTATTGTTACCAACAAAGCAGCCTCAGCCCCTTCACCCCTGCAAAAGCTACGCTACCATATGGCATCTAGGAAGAGCCAGTCAACCAGACCATGTTCAACGTACACACCCACCCTATTTATTCATGTTTTGGTCAAGCCTGGTCAAAGTTAACTGTTATGGAACAACAGTAGAATTATCATTATAATATCTAATATGCGGACTTATTTTGAATGTACGTGTGAAGGAACACAGATTGAAAAGACACAAACACGGTGGACATATAATTAAAAAAAAAAATTAATTTTGTCTTACCGGGAAGACGATGGATCGCGAGAAATGGGGTGTGGTCGATCGGAAGTCAGTTCTTCCCCTTCCCCTTCTGGTCTGAATGCCGGCTTCCGTCGCCGTAGCAGAGTTGCAAGCGGCCATCTAATTCGGGCGAGAACTGGTGGTGGTTGTTGTTGTGATTCTCCATGGCCGGAGCGGCGGCGGCTCCGATGAAGAAAGGAAAGTTGGACGATCCGTCTAAAGGTGAGAACCTCTGAAGATGATGAGGCAGAAGAGACGGAGAATTGGACTGAAGGGTCCCCCTACTATTGTTGAAACCAGCAAGGCCGCCGGAATTAGAAGAAGAGATTGTGAAGTTAAGATTGTACTCGCTGCCGGCGCCACTACCTCCACCGCCCCCTCCGCTGGGGGTCTGCGACGACGTGACCACTGTCGGCATTAGATGGTCGGGAATGAACGAGAAATGCTGAAGCTGATCTGAGTGGTTTTCACTTTGGACTCCGAAAGGTGCAAGCGACATTGCCTGAACAAGATTGTTCCCCTGTTGGATCTGCCCTGAAAACCCGGAAGATTGATGATGCTGGGTTCTTGAAGAAGACGAACCTCCCAGAAGCTCCGCGCCGAAGTAGTCCATGGGCGCTATACTCCATTGATGCCTAGCTCCTTTGTTGAACAGATCAGCCTCGTCACTCCGATGATGATTCTGTTGAGCGGAGCCGGTGGGGCTAGTAGTAGTGGCGGGAACTCTAGTGTTTATCCCACCGGTGAGAAGCTCAGTGAAAGAAGTTTGAGCCATTGAGATGACATTATTATTCTGAGGATGAGCAATATTGCAAGATTCATCATTCTCTTTCTCCTTCTCCTTCGCCGCTCTCTCCCTCGCCCTCTCGCGGGCCTTGACTCGAATCTCTGTCCTCGAGAGGGACAAGCCGGAGCCCTTGCTCGTCTCCGACGTGCTGCTACAAGCAGACTTCGACAAGGAAAGATTCTGACTTTGATTATTTTGATTCTGTTGCTGATGGAAACCAGCTTCACCATCTCCGTCTGCATCAGCTGAATCGATACATTTCTCACCTCCTCTCTTCTCATCGCTGGGTTGCTTCGGCGTCTCCGGGAACGTATTGTTCAGAGAAGGGAGCTCAGAAATTGCATCAGACGCTGCTTTGATTAGCCATTCCACGGCTTTACTGGGCTGATCGTAACCCAGACGATCTTGAAGGTCGTAGAATTGGATCGCCGTGGTGACAGAGAGCCGAACCCTTCGGTCTCTTAAACCCTTGGAAGTCATGACCTTGCTGTGCCGATCCTTCCCGCCGGAGGCACGAGAAACCCTAACGATTCTAGACGAGTGGTGTTGCCAACTGTGGAATCGGTTGCTGCTTCCATCACTACCTCCTCCACTTCTTTTTCTGAGGTCACCATTTTCTTCATTAATATTGGAACCTATCTTGTTGGAGGAATTGTTTCTCGCACTTCCATTTTCAATTCTCGGGAATTTACACGCTTGTGCTTGAATCCCATCCTCCTCCATACCACAATCATGCCTTTTGCGCGGCTCAAGCTATAGAAGAAACCCTCCTTCCTTGTCTGTTATTAAACTCACACTTTAGAAGAGGCACAGAGGGGTTAGAGAGTGAGAGAGAAGTTTTAGAGAGAGAAGGAAGGAGAGTGCAGGTGGGGTTGGTGTGTCCTTTGCATTGATGGTGATAATTCAGACTAGTCTGGGTTTGTAGGGATAAAAAGGCCTTTTTTTTTTTTACGCTCCGATATATCACAGTCCAAGTCAGGAAGGAGAGGCCCTCGTTCAAGCTTTTTTGCAGTTGCAGAGAACGCTTTCAAAAGCAAAGCCTGAGTAGATCTCAGAGACGCAGCAGCTCCTGCAAAAACCAAAAGCATTTCAATTTTCAACCACAAAAAATAAATAAATAAACAAAATATTTTCAGAAAAACAAAAAAAAAAATCATATGCTTAAGTAATAGTGTAATACGTATATGGTAGTAACTAAGTGCACATTCTCAGACTCTCTTGTTGGTTATTACAAAACAGACAAGATCAGACAGTGGCATTAATTTAGCTCAGTACTTCAAAAACGAAAGCCTAAGCGTAGATTATTAAAGAAAAGGTAGATCGAAATGCTTAAAGATGAAAACTGACCACTAGCTTTTAGGACGTACCTTCGATCTGGGCCGTTCTGATTTGTTGATATCAACCAAAAAGATCAAAACTTGCAGAAGGTCTCGCCCATCCGGACCAACCCTTTTAAGCTACTATTGCATTTATGAAGCTTTCTTTCACCCTCCTTAAAAATAGCAGAGAGGTATTGCATCTCATTAGAAATAATAAACCAACATTCAGCTTTCTTGCTTTAATTTGAAGGATTATGATGGGGCAGAGCCCGTAACTCTCAGATCTGTCTGTGTGTACCTAGAGATTTATCAACGAAGCAAAGACAAGAAAATCCTGCGAATAACTTGAGCTCATTGAAAGAAATTACATTTTCAGATCAGACCAAAACTCGTACGGGCTCAAATGAAAATCGGAGAGCCAAAAATGGAACTAAACACGAAGAAATCAATAAGTTATTGAAGTAGCTTCAAGGTAAGGAGATAAAAAAAATAAAAATAAAAATGACATTTTTTTTTCTTGATTTCCCAAATGGCCTCGTTTGCTTCTCAACCTTCGGATAATCCAGAGAAAAAAAAAATGGAGCTTGTTTAGCCTCTCTCCTTCTATCTCTAGCTGTCACTCTTCAGCCTAGAGCGTAAACAAGAGCTCAAATCTTCCATAAAACTATATAACGCAAACTGAAGCAATATATATCTGTGGAGTTAGTTAACTGAATTAAGAGTTGAGATTGACACTTACAGTGTTTTTGCTGATCCCTTGGCACACGAAAAATGCAGTAGTAGAAGGAGGGAGAGGGGAAGAGAGAGAGAGAGAAAAACAGTTTCTATTTTCTAGGGTTTATGGAGAGAATGGAAGGAAAAAGCAGTGAGGAGCGAGGACGAAAGAGAATTGGGTGAGAAAGGATTATGAATTAAGGTGAGGAGGAAGGAGGAAGAAGGAGAAGATGGTGGGTGGATTGTTGATTTTTTGAAGGTGGGTTTCTGAATCAAAATCCATTTGCATTTGCATTACAAAAGTCTCCAGGGCTTATCGGGAAAAGGAAGAAAGACACAGCGCCGTTCCAGATTTTATGCGCCTGGCCACATCTTTACATCTGGCCCTTCCTTTTCTCTATTTTACTGTCTTACCCCTTCACTTACTAACTTATCATAGTACTAAAAATCCTGCCAGCTTAACTAAAAATTTTGGGTTAATTAAAGTTCTGGAAATGCAAGAACATTGACTTGATTGAAACTGAGTCTGGTTCCCATAAAAATCTTTTTTACTCGATGTAAGACAAGCCCAAAACGTTAATTGCTTTAATAAAAAAATCGAATTAAATTCGTTGTTGGAAAAATATTGAATTAATATCTTCATCAAGTCAATGAAATATTTAATTTATGATTGGGACTGCGGTTTTTTTTAAAATGGGTAAATTTAACCAATTCAATGACGAAACAAATTTTTACAGTAGAGTAAGCATCTTTTCTATAAAATTTAATTTCCGTACCCAGATTCACAATAAAATCGTTCTCACACAGGCAAAAAGAAATTTCACAATAATTAAAATCACTCATTCTTGATCGCTTGATTTTTAATAAGCTGGTCGCAATATTAGCTGCTGCTTTGCCATCTTACAAAAATGGCAACCAATATTTTATTTTCAGAATCAGATAATATCGTTGAGATCAGCAAATTAAAGAAAATAACTCAATTTATTTTCTATCTTCTCAAAATGTTAAATTTTTGCCATAAAAACAATGAAAGAAATCCATCAACTTTTTCCATATACAAATATTTAATAGGAAGAATCACATTCAAGTACACTCAAAAAAATTATTATAGATAAGGACTAATAACAAGTCCATTTGAAAAAAAAACAAATTATATTACTCATTTTAACAATAATCTATTTCATATTGTTCTTGCCTATAAATAATTTCGTGAGTGGTTCTTAAATGTGATTCTATCTATTTAATATTAGGTATCATTCACTTCTACTCTTCTTCTTCTTCTTTTTTTTTCTAAGATATCCACAAAGTCACAGTCATGAGACTAATTACACAAAAAATCTAAGCACCATTTTATTTTTATTTTATTTATTCACAATAGTTCAGCCCATAACTTTATTTGAATGACATGAAGTTTTTTAATTGACTCCACCGGGTTGATGGATCTTATAAATAGAAAAAAAAAATTGATTTTAGCTTAAACTGAGTGGCCATGGTTGAGTTCATTTGACAGTAAAACAACTTCAATAACTATAACATTGAAAGAAATATTATCAAAGAAAAAGTTGGTATATTAACAATAATGTTTTCATAAAGATAACATTTATAGAGGATGTAAAACGAATTTTCAAAGAAGAACATTCACGCGTAAGTTAACAAAATTTTAGTGAACATCAATGTAATTTACCTTTTTCCAACGAGCGTAATTTACTACTGTATATAAATTATTTATTATTATTTTTTTTATTACTGTTATGGATAATCTTTGTCATTATTCAAAATTCCAGGACTTATGGCTATTTGTATTTGTCTTCACATCCTATTCTTTTCATAGCTTGCCCGATTAACGTTTATTTGTTGGCTTTGCATCAGCATTTATATAATCTAAACCATATTATTTAACTATCAGTTTTCATTTAGGTTTGATATGTCTTTTCTTTTCTTTCTTTCTTTTTTTTTCCTTTTTGGAGTGAGAGATCTAAGCCCGAGCCTAATACATCAAAGCGACAATTGTGTTACAAGGAATAGGGACATGTATTTTCTTATGGAACAAATAATGCTGTCTGATAAAAATGAAGTATACAGATGTTAGATTAAGTATACAGGTGTGATAAAAATGCATATTTGACTCTTTAAATTTATAAATAAAGTATGTTTTCAATCTTTTAATTCCAACATCATTAACTCATCAACAGAAAATGACAACTCTACAATTTTAAATGCCAACAAAACATGTTCAAATGCTAATATATCAATTTGAATTTTAAAAATAAAATTTATTAGATTAAAATATTATATTTGAGATTTTTTTTGGCATTTATAATTGCAATGTCATCATTATTTTTTACTAATGAAATTAATTATATTAGGGACTTAAAAATATACTTTATAAAATTAAGGATTAATTAAAATTTATTGTAAACTTAAAGGACGAGAAATACACTTTTAACCGAGTTTAATTTACACTAGTTGCCTTAATTTTGTACAAATATATGTGGCCATAACATAACGCAACCATCAACCTCATGTTTCTAAAACTATACACACGAACATATAATGCATTGAAATTGGTGGATGATTATCTAATCATGGTCATTTAGTACTTAATGAGCAATGCACCTCTTCCAAGCAGCCAAGGTGTAGAAGTAGTGAATAATATCATCAAACACTTCAATTAATTGACAGTTCAAGAATTTAAGATGCTGCCTTTGATGTAAATTACATCAATCTCCTTCATGAAATAATTAAAATATAATATCTTCGAGTGTATATAAATCTTCTTGAAGCCAAAATATGATGACTTACTATTCACTAGCTTCGCAACCTTAGTTCACTGGAAATTTGGAAATTGAATTGAATAGAGTATATGATCATTAAATATGTTACTCTCTCCATTCAAATTTATAAAGTATTTTTAAATCAAATTACATCTCCAATGAGTGAGTTAATTGTTTTTAAAATTACACTTTATATCTATATTTTTCTTTATTTAACAATGTCTCAGTTAGGAAACTTTATTAGTTACATCCCTTATAAAGAATTTTTTTGAAAAAAAAAATATTAATGATATTAAAAGACTTAAAATATCTTATATTTTTAAATATGATTAAAGTATAAATCTATCTTTAAAGTTTTTATAGAGACGTATCTCATATCCTCGAGTGTTTTTCAATTTGGTACATTTTCTTCCAACCATTAGGGTTTGATTATGTTGACCATTATTTGCCTAGCCAGCAACCACATGGCATATTTTAAGAATTAAAAATCAAAAGAAAGAAATAAAAAACAAATCCATGTCGTCAAACACTCCTGTGTGGCAAATTAAGTAGAAATCAAGCATACTTTGGACACGAGAACAAAACCAAAATAAAAAAGGGAGAAGAGGGGAAGAATCTAGAGAACTTTGGACTCAAGGACATCGAACGAAAATAAAAAACTTGAACGTCAAGACATAAGGCTCAATCAAGCTTCAACAAGAATAAGAATGGCGCTATGCATTCGATAGACTTAATCGATCGAAATCGATTCGATTATTGAGGTCTTTCTCTTCGTCGCCTTCGATCTGGATGCTTTGAGAAAACCCATTATTGATGTGAACTACCTGACAAGTGCAACAAAACCATAGCATACCATCTATTGTTCATGAGAAGAAGAAGAAGAAGAAGAAGGGATCTTGAATTGAGATTGTCAATCTCTGCTAAGCATCTCAAAGAGGTCAGATTGGAACGTAGAACAGTTAATCGATGAGGGATAAGGAGAAGAATTGATTTCCAGATCTAATATGGATTTTTTTCCTTTTTTTTTTAATTTTTAAAATATTACAAATGGCTGCCAACCTAGCAAACTTATATAGGTCAATGCAATCAAATCCTAACGCAGGACAAAATTATACCCAATTAAAGAAGGATGTTGGGATGAAAATGTGCTAAAAAAAATTAAAGATATGAAGTGTGCCTCTGTAAAAATTTTGAAAAAAGATTTGTATGTTAACCCTTTTAAATATGATACTTTAAAAAAATATCTTATAATAATAAACTTAGGGAGAATTACGGAATTCATAATTCATCCATTCAATTAAGAATTAGGCTAGGATAGGTACTTGATCGAGAAGATTTAAAAGCAAAAAGGTAAATGAAACGAAAAAATGAAGAATAAAATATAAATGAATGCAAATGGATACAGATGAACAGACCAAAATAACCCTCCCATATAGAATGCACAAGCAGAAGCCCTACTTGAAAAGTGGGTAGGGTGGTAATTCTGAAGAGGAGGGAAGGGTAGATACGTAAATAGAAGTACATACCTGAAAGGGTTGAGAGCAAAAGCTTTTCCCCCGACCCCACCTCCACCAAAACGCAGTTCAGTTCAGAAGCACGGAGTCACCTCCAATAATTCACTGAACTTTTGTTAAAAGAAGAAGATATTTTTGGGGGGTTAAAGTCTAATGATGATGCTTAATTAAGATTACATAAAGCGGTCCATGATTTAATTAATTAATTAGCCTTAGATTTAGTTGTCCGTACGCACAAATGATGTGGGTCTATGGGACCAAATCTTATTCTTAAATACTTTTATGACCCAAGTGATGTGCAATGTACTTGCCCAAAACTGAAAAGCACCCCATTCATGCTGGCAGCCAATTTCCAGACATACCATTCACATCAATCCTCTATTTTTTTAAAAAAAAAAAACACGACAATTTTATCTTTAAATATAAATTTATTAATATTTAATATTAAATTTATTTTTTATTAAATTTTATCCCTCTATGTTTAGAAATGTTGCAATGTATCCCTCCTGTTAATTAATTATTTTTGTGTTGTAAGGTTTAAATTTTCTCTCATATGCTTCGACCCTATAATTTAAAAGTAAAATTGTTATTTTATCTTTTTTTTTGTCATTATACTTTTTTTTAAATAATTGATATTCAAAAATTATTAAATTAAGTTACTTCAGGTTAAGGCAAAAATACTTATAATAGAGATAGCAAAGTTCTTTCAATAAATATTTACAATAACCATATTCTTCTTTGCAAAACAACAAATATCATATGTGCAAGAGACATTGAATTTTAAAAGATAATAATAGATTCTTAAGCTCTTTTAATACAATTTTATCCAAATATAAATATGTAGAAAAAATTAATAAATGAGTGTTTAATTATATTAAAACAAAGTACAAATTGTAGTGACTTCAAAAATTGCAAATGATTCTAAAAACTATCTAAAAGTGCAAAATAAATTTGGAAAGGTACACTAAAATTACTATTAAATGTTCTTGATTGATTGTTGATATTCTCCTCCCTACGACCTTAAGTTCCTTTTACAAATATTTACCTAGCATAGTCT